GTTCAAGCTTGATTGTGCATTGTGCAGTGCATTTGCTCTCTGCAAATGGAGCATCACCAAGCAGAGAGGGAGAGAGGGGAGTCTGTAACGGTGACACAACGTCTCTGGACTCCTTGTCGCAGTGCCTGGCACCAGTGTAAAGAAGGTGAATATACCTGCAGTAACACAAGCCCCTGTCTCCTGGTGCAGTTTATACCAGCAATGAGCAGAGGAGACAGAGCAGAGGCATTATTAGTCCAGAAAGTGCACACACAGTCAGTTTGATGTCCACTGACTGTGGCTGCAGCTTTTTTAAAATTTATTTCTTTTTTACAGTTTCTGTCTTTGTTCAGATACATTTCCAAAACACTTCCTTCCCTGCTTTAATTAACTGTGTACACTTCATTTTCGGTCTGTATTTTCCAAATGGTGTGTAGTAGAAAAACTAGCAGTGTTGATACTTAACAGATGGAAAGTGATGAGACAAAAAGAGCAGAGAGCATGCAGTCAGATCGAGAGTAATAAAAAACGAATAATCATAGCTTGTAAAGACAGAGGGATGATAAAAGAGTCAGGAGACGCTGGCACGATCGCTAGAGCGGCTGCAGATTGTCTCTTGTCAGCCACAGCGTTGGACTCTGAAGAAAATAATTGTGCCCAGTGGACATGGCAGGTCACAGACTTGGAGATGTCCGAGCTTTACTGCAAGCTTGATCCACTCGAACACTGTATACAAAAGAAGGACATAGCACCATGATGTCTCCCATTGGGGTCTAAAAACTGTAAAACCTCAAGTTGGAGATTTCGGTCGGTCCCTCTTGGCTTTTGGAAAACAGCCATCAAACAAACGAGGGGTGGATCTGACTGAGAGACGGACACCGTGGGTAAATCACACCCTGCTTTATCATGTATGTACTGTAAGCGTGACCATAACTTATAAAATGAACTTCATGATGGTTTAAATAAGAGCTCATTATGCTGATGTGTTAAATCGAGTTAGAAGTAGCATAAAAAGATAAATCTGAGTATAAAAAGAAATTGTGGCTCCCTTCTTAGCTTCTAATATAAAAGCCTCACCATCTAAATTTGTGAATTTAAAACCATTATTTGCATTTAATCTTTACAAAACTGTGAACTTACTGAATGAGCAACAAAAGTCCAATGTAATAGAGAGTCTAATGTAGCTGTCATGCTGTGTATTGTTGTCCAAAGACTTTTCTTAAAGATGCAAAGACTGCACTATTACATAAAAGTTCTAGATACTTGAGTTCTTTGGCTGTGGGTTTGATGCATTCATTGTGGGTTTAGATTTCTTTGCTTCTGTCTGTCTTTTCTGAATTTGTTTATAACCGCAAGATATAAATAAGAAAAAATCCAAATTAAAAAAAGACACCTGTGTCCGTGTGTGTCTGTGTGAGTGAGCGCTCAAATGAAATATTGACATCCCGTTCGCCGGGTCCTGTGGGTATCAAGGTGAGCACAGAAGTAGAAGATTGACTAGAAAGTGGAACAAGATGGAGAGGGGAAGAGAAATGAGAAGTCTGGATGGAGCTTAGTGAAAGCGAGTGTGTAAGTGCAGAAATATAGTGCGACTGTGTGGGCGCTGAGCAGCAGCAGCAAGAAATACAGCGATGGAGTGTGATACAGGGAGAAATTGGATAGGGGAAGGTGGCAAAACTTGGAGAGAGACGGTGGATATTGAGAGAGTGGACAGAGGGAAGGAGCGCGGCATGAAAGGGGGGAAAAAGGAAGAGCATGGTGGTGTTAAATGGAGGGTGAAGATGGGTGAGAGGCAGAGAGGGAGACCGTGGACAAATACAGAGCCGAAGGCTATCAGTACCCTTTGTTCACACGAATATTTCGATGATGCGCAAATTCACACCTACAGTTACACGCACTGTAAAAAAAAAATATTAAGCCCACACCTAGAGAGAAGTGTGAAAAAAAACATTCGCCGTGTGTGTGTGTGTGTGTGTGTGTGTGTTTTAAGTCTTTTTAGTTTAATCAGACAGCTCATTTAAAAAGGCAGGATTACTTGGATTTAAATCGAAAAGGCACATCAATAGCAGATGGGAACAGAGGAAAAAACAGACATCACAAACACAATTGTTTCATTTCAGCAGAGGCTTCGGGGTAACTGGTTCCAGGTAGATGGAGCTCGAAATCTGAAAGAAAATCAGTGCTAATAGAGAAACCTGAAGCTCCTGGGAGACACTTTGATGGAGTCATGGCAGCAGCACAACATGCTGCATTTTTAGCATGGCCTGCAAAGAAAGGAAACCATCCAAGGATGAACTTAGCCGTGCTAGGGTTAGGAACACGATGGTTCGATGGTCACGGGGAAGAGAAAGCGATGTTTTCTACAGCTGTCTCCCGTGTTTAGTGGTCCATTTTCCTCGGAAGGGCTGCCTGTTTTTTTTTGCGCATTTTTATTCATCGCCTCTACCCTGATGTGTGCATTTCACGAGAGCTCAACTCCTTTGATGTTCCTCCTTTGATTCATGCTGTCTGTCAGTGTAAATCTAAACAATACTTTAAACACACCTTTCTGGAGTTCAGTAAGATGGAAATTCACTTTGAAAACCTTTTGTTTTTTTTAACAAACCCCAAATCTAAACTGGATCAAACAGCGCATATCGTTATGGATTATAGAGATATGCTGAATACTGCTGTATTTACCCTTAAACCAGTTGACACCATCTACAAAACACTGCATACTCTCTACCAGTGTGCAGGTTTACATGTGGTTGTCTCACTGCTCATGTATTTTCTGCATATGGCACTTTTTTCTGTCACACACACACACACACACACACACACA